ACATATGATGTCGCAGTTAAGCGACTGCTGCCTGTGGATGGCTCTGGATTGAGCTGATACAGGCAAAAGACTTCTCTCTCCCATATTTGGGCTGACAGGGTGTTCAAAAAAAAAGCGCTTCATGGCATAGGACCCGGTTATCTCCGAGACCGCCTTCTGCCGCAGATCCCCTCCCTCAGACCGGTACGCTCCCACAGAGCGGGCCTCCTCAGGGTGCCGTCGGCCAAGCAATGTCGGCTGGCGACCCCCAGGGGGAGGGCCTTCTCTGTGGGTGCCCCTGCCCTCTGGAACGAACTACCCCCCGAGATCCGGATGATTCCGGATCTCCCTGCTTTCCGTCGCGCCCTCAAGACATGGCTCTTCCAACAAGCGGGCCTGACCTAGGGAGGATTTTATATGGGGTTTATTTTTTAGCAATTTGATAGAGACACAACTTTAAAATTTGATTTAATTCGGTTTTATCGGGGGGGGGGGAATGTATTTATGTTTTGTTTTAAATATGTTGTGCGCCGCCCTGAGTCCCGTCGGGAGAAGGGCGGCATATAAATTAAAATAAATAAATAAATAAATAAATAAATAAATAATTCATATATTTAGAAAATAACCTTTTGACCTGGATATTTACTGAGACAAGTCTGCCTACAGAGTCTCTCAATATTATTTGGTGCAGTGAATCTGAGTCCTTTTCCGACAGCCTCCTATATAATCTGCTTATTTAAATTGACTGGCTGCCCAACTCCAGGCATTTTTCAATAAGAAAATTATTGGTGCAGCTGAGTGGGTATATCAGGTGTGCTCCATTCAGAGTCTGGGGAAGTGGGTTCTAAGTTTAGCTCTTTTTATTAAAATATATATATATATCAAAAATTTCTTTAAAAATGTGATCCCTGTATATATATATATATATATATATACAGACGGAGCCTGTTGGGTTCCTCCTGATGAAGTTCTTCCTCTTGTTTTTTTTCAGGGTTACGGAGATCACAAGCCGAAGTCTTCCACTTCAGCTCAGGAAGTGAAAACGCTGGATGGGATTTATACAGAACAGGTAAACCAGCAACTGTATTGCTTATACATACATACATACATACATACATACATACATACATACATACATACATACATACATACAGTGGGTAGGTGGATGGGAAGGAAGAGGGATAAGTGGATGGATAGATAGATGGATAGATGATAGATATAGACAAGAGAGGGGAGATAGAGAGAGAGAGAGATAAATAGATATGGATGGATGGATGGATGGATGGATATCTAGATAGATACACAGAGACAAAGAGATGGATAGGTAGATATTTATAAATAGATAGGGATAGGCTAGGTAGATATAAAGAGAGAGATGGATAGGTAGAGATAGACGAGATGAATAGATAAAAAGAGATATAGATGGATAGGTAGATATATAGAGAGAGATACATAGATAGGACAGAGAGATACATAAATAGATAAATAGGGTAGATATAGACATAGAAATGGATAGGTAGAGAGGGATAGGTAGGTAGATGATAGGTAGGTAGATAAGTAGACAGATATGTAGACATAGAGATAGACAGATAGTTGAAATCCTATAAATTAACATTGCATAGAAGGGATTAGATAAGTAGTAGTAATGGATGGATGGATGGATAGGTAGATATAGAGAGAGACAGAGAAAGATAGGATAGAGAGATAGATAAATAGGGTAGGTAGATATAGACATAGAAATGGATAGGTAGATATGTAGACATAGATAGTTGAAATCCGATAAATTAACATTGCATAGAAGGGATCAAACAGTTCTCATAAACTAAGGCTATAAATAAAAAAATCTGAGTTTTGGTTTATTTAATAAACATATTTCAATCTCCTTCTCACGAGTTTATCAAAACTAAACAACCAGGGATATTGGCTCTAATACACCCATGTGTGTACAAGGGACACTTTTATAGAACGTATAAAACAACCTCTGCATTTGGGGAGCTGCCTTCTAACGCAGGCACTTGTGCGAAACCATCAACGCGGATCGTTTACGCAGCCTAGCTCGGCACGCGAAGGGAACGGGGGGGTTGCCAATCCAGCCGGCATCCCATCTCTTTTGCAGGTGGCCATGGGCTACGCTCACTCCCTGGCGATCGCCCGCGATGACAACGAAGCTGAAAAGGAGAAGATCAAGAAATTGCCAGAATACAACCCACGCACCCTCTGATGCCAGCCGTGTGACTCTTCCCTCCACCGGGCACGCCGGCGACGGCACGGCATTGGTGATTGGCGAAGAGACCGTGCGTTTCGTTAGACTTCTGAGAATTCGGTTTTTATACGGCATTTGAAGTTTTAACTACCTGTTGCTAGGACTCTTCTCTGCCCTGCTCCACCCCATCCTTTCCCCCCAAGGTGGCTTGTTTTGTATTTTGTATTTCTTTTTTTTTTTCTTTTCTTTTTTTGTGATGGTGGTGGAGGAGGAGGAGGATAAATTGAAGAAGTCCATTCGTCCTTTTTTTCGGTCACCAGTCCGATGGAAACTTCAGAGGCATTTCTCCAGTTTTTCTCCCCCTGTTAAACCTGTTCGGGACCAGTAAGCCAGCATTGAAAGTTTGTTTGTTTGTTTTCTACTGCAAAGAGTGGCCTGTGCTTTGCGTTTTGCCCCCCTGTGGAAGGCAGCTATTTGTTTTTATTATTTCTCTTGCCTTTCTGTCATTTCCTTTTGATTTAATTTGGGCACCAGGCCTCCGAGTTCAAGAGTTCCTGTTGATTTAGGGTTGAGCAGTTGTGCCACCTCGTTTCCGTGTTGCCGCAGACCTTTTAATTGGCATTGTGTTCCTTTGTAATTGCACAGCATTTCTTTCTCACAATCTGGGGGAGGGGGGGGGACTTGTAGGACATTTTGCTTGCAAGTGGCAATTGTCCTTAGGGGTGAGATTAGGAGGCTGACCACAGGAGGGTGCTTCGCATCCGGTTTTAGAACAAGTGAATTTGTTGCGTTGAAAACAGCTGGAGAGAAATTTCACTTTGTCCGGGTTAAATTCTGACTCTGGTACTTAAGCTGAAAAAAAAAATAAGCTTCTCTTTTGTTTATCTTTTTCTCTTTATGGGCTGGCACCCACTTTCCTAGGAAGTGGAACTTTTGAGTTCCTCTTTTTGAAAGAGGAATTTCTTTAGATCATTGAACGACAGCTGAGAGGTGGTTCTCAGACTTGAAGCGTCACACCTCCTAAGGCTTAGAATATTTTGGGGGGTTGGTGTTCCCTCTAACCCCTTCTCTTGAACCCCCCCCCCCCCAAATACTAACAACCCTTTGATCCCTGATTGAGGAAACTGCATAAAGTTTCCCAGAAATAACAGGAGATGCATTTCCAGCCCGTGGGAATTTAATTCACAGCCGTCTTATTTCACCATTCGGTCTTTGTGGGATGGAAATTTTGTGCCCTGGAAGCAAACCACTGCTCTATTTCAGATGGTCTATTATAAGGGACCAGGATCCTTTCCCCTTTCACCATCACTGCCGTCCCTCAGCGGGTTTTTGTCACCTTTTTAACCAGATCTGCTAACTTGTGAGTTAGAACAGCGAGCAATAAACCCGGGAAAAATAATAATAATAATAATGTAAACCCACCACTGATGGATGGAACATGGAGAAAGTTGGAAGGCAGCTGTTGATTTGATGCTAAATTTGCAGGTTCAGGATACTAGATGGAGAACGAGGTTAAAGTGAGAAAAATCAGGAAGTTGGCTCCCTTTGCCCAGGTCTGTTTAAAAACGTTTTCTCTCTTTTTTTTCCTGATTGGGTACGTACAGCCGCAGTTCAATACCCCTCACCATTTTATTTGTCTTGCCAGATGTTCCTCTTCTTCATTGGCTAAGTCATTCTAACCCTAACAGGAAACCCCATAAGTTAAACAGGGGATAATTTATTTGCCATGGGAGAGAAAGAAGACAAAGAGGTACTTCCATTTTCACCAAAGAAACGGCTGTTTTTATGCTAAGTAAAAAAGATTTTGCTTTGGACCTGGTTAGCAAAAAGACTTCTGTTTTAAAACTGCTAACTCTTTTTTCTTTATCAAGGAGAAGGGCCCAGTGGGGACAAATTAAAGTGAGATGGGGGAAAAAAAGGTTTTAGCCTAGTCTTGTCACTCTCTTGTTTTTCCTCTTCCACTTTTTTTTATATTTCTCAAATGTTTAAATAAATGATGGGTTTGTTTAGACTTTGCAGTCTTACTTTCTCCTTCTTTCTGTACTGACCTAACAGCAGAGATGATCCCGCATTTCATGCTTTATCAGGACCTGTTGCGTAGCAGAACATTTTTAGAACACATCTGCGTTCTTTGCCAAGGGATGTCTTGTTAATTTCTTAGCTGGTTGAAAGCAGGATATGGAATGATCTGGAAAAGCTAGGTATGTAAGACACCTTTTTTTCAGTAAGTTGAAAGTTACATAAGTTATTAAACGAGAATAAACAAGAAGATAGTATTCTGATGTGAAGGTGACAAGATGTTTCTGGAAGCATTTAGAGCAGGGGTCTTCAAACTTGGCCCTTTTAGGACTTGTGGGCTTCAACTCCCAGAATTCCTCAGCCAGGCCACGGGTGCCTGGCTGAGGAATTCTGGGAGTTGAAGTCCACAAGTCCTAAAAGGACCAAGTTTGAAGACCCCTGATTTAGAGTTTTGGGGAAATGAGGGTTGAGAAAAGCTTCATCCCACCAACAAGGATGCAGAATCTTCTGCTAGAACAGAAGTGGCCAAGGAACAGCATGTGGAAATGTTAAGACTTTGAGTTTTTTTTAAATTTTACTCGTTCTTTTGCTGGAAGAGACAAGCCATAATATGAGTCAAACTGTAAACCCCCAAGGAGAACATTGAAGGAAGCCTGCCATTACAAGATCCCTCTTTTTAGAGAACGTCCTCCTGCTTGCTTGGCAGCCCCTGAGCATCCCAAAAGTGCTTTTTCCAAGAGGCAACTGGACTTTCTTGTTTTTTCTTTGAAGACGTTTCGCTTCTCCTCCAAGAAGCTTCTTCAGCTCTGACTGGATGGTGGGGAACGGAAGGATTGATCCTCCTTGCAGACCGCTGGTCATTTGCATCCTTTTAGAGAGTCGTTGAGGCCACTTGGAGGTTTATCTGTGTCCCTCTAAGGAAATCCTTCCATTCCCCACCATCCAGTCAGAGCTGAAGAAGCTTCTTGGATGAGAAGCGAAACGTCTTCAAAGAAAAACAAAGTCCAGTTGCCTCCTGACAAAGCACCTTTGGGGACAACCAAGACCTGGATGATGGAGAATCTCCATAGACCTTCATCCCCTGAGCAGTTTTACTGAGATATTTTTGAGTTGGATTTAAACTCTGAAGAACATCTGCTGATATTCTAGTGCTCCCCACATTGGTCATCTCTCCAATAGCAAGATCATCAGAAGAAGCTAGTCAAGGTGGTTAGATGGAGATGGTTGAAGTCAACAAGAGAAAGGTCAATGTTAAGGACCCATCAAAAAGGTCTTCTTGTACCTTAGGGAGCCAAAATTCTTTGGAGAGTCTCCATAATTTCCATGTAGGTGTACTGACAATAATAGCACCTTGCTCTGATTTATTTTGAATTCTTGCTAAGGTCATGTGGTCCTCACGACCACAATTGAGCCCAAATTTTCTGCCATGGTGAGACATTTGTTAGTGAGTTTTTGCCCTGTTTTACGACTTTTCTCGCCACGCTAGTTAAGTGAATCAGTGCAGTTGATAAGTTAGTGACCGGTTGTTAAGTGAATACGGCTTCCCCATTCTGACTTTGCTTGTCAGATGGTCGCAAAAGGGGATCACGTGACCCCAGGACACTGTGACCATCATCAATACGAGTCAATTGCCAATCATCTGAATTTTGATCCCGTGATTATGGGGATACTGCAGAAGTCGCAACTGGAAAAACGGTCATGTCACTTTTTAGTGCCATGGTAACTGAACAGTCACTAAATGAATTGTTGTAAGTCAAGGACTAGCTGTATTCATGGTCTACCTTTATGACCATATTAACAGTAGCATTGATTTTAAAAAAACGGAACAGAATGCTTAACTGTTGTTCACAATTTATTCAAGCAATTTGAAAGATCAGTGAGAGAAGCCTCTGCAATTTTTAAAAAAATATAAAATAATTCAGCGGTACGCATTTCATTTAAAAACAAAACAGCCAAAGAAACATGGACTCCACAATTATTGCACCCTCGTAATGCCTCTTTGTGAATCAAGTGTTTGAAATGATAGAGAGAAATCAACATAAAACCAAAATGTGGATGAATTACTCCTCAATATTCCTATTTTGATTTGTACACTTGGAAGGGCTGCCAGCCTTCATAACGCATCTGGGGCCAGCCGCTAAGTACTTTTATGTCGAAAATTATTTATCTTCAACTCCGTCATCCCAGGTTCACAAGATCTTGGACCAGCTTGTTTTGGGTTTTTTGGGAAAATGTTCTTCATCTGTTGGAGTGTGTTTTGGTGATTTCTTGATATGTGACTATCTGACTTGGCTTATCTAGGCGGTGGTGACTAAACATGAGCTGATGAGTTTTGTTGATGTGACACAAGGACTTGGGGGGACCTGATAGCAGTATTCCAATATTTGAGAGGCTGCCGCAAAGATGAGGGCGTCAATTTATTTTC